CTTTAACTTTGTGCCCTAAGTTCTTAGCATGAGCTATGAAATTTTCAAGCACATCCTTTACTTCTGATTTGTGCTTTAAAAGAAAAAACAGTATCGAAATTTGGTGTAAGGCATCTTTGAAGATTTGCAAAGTATCGATATTTCTTAAATGATTCATCAAATGACTCACAAATGTCTGTCGAGAACAATTCTCCAACTTTTGCAACCTCTTCCTGTGTTTCCAAACTTTAAACGGTGGGCTTTTCCATATACACAGGTTTCACATAATTTCATATCAGGACTTAAATCTTAATATTCAAGCTCTTTCTCAAGAATGCGCCTTTACATGTGCTTTTTATCTTGGTGACTCCATCGTTCATGATAAAATTGAAGAGTTGATTCATTATTCTCGATAACATTTATACCGGTCTGAGTTTCAGAAACTAAGGCCTTAATCATGGCTTTGAAGATCCCCCCACCCATCAGCATTTCTTGTTACCATAAAGAACTATTTCACCATGTATTTTTAAATACCAGTCTGTAAATGTTGATTCAAACACACTGTTTTGGTTCCTATCTTGAGTTGCTAACACGGAAAATAGATTCTTGCTTATTTCTGGAACATGTCACACATTTTCAAGATTTTTTTGATCTGATTCATCCCATTAACAATGGTCATTATCCTGACATGGCGCCTTCTCTAATTGCTGGTAATGACTTTCCATGTGCTACAGTGATGCTATGAGGAAGCTTAAATCTTTTGAAGTCTATAAAGTAGTGCCTGTTATTGACGACATGCTTCGAGGCCCCATTATCAATAAACCAATCATCAGAATTCGTTTCTGCAGAAAAATATTGTATCATCTACAGCTAGAAGTGTCATATTTGCAGCAACACTGTTTTTACTTTCCTTGTTCGGCTCTATATGTGGACTGGGTTTCGGCGGTTTCCCATCAGCTATCCATTTCTTGCATGTTCTGACCCAATGTCCTCTCTGGTGGCAATAATTACACTTGCCATTGTTTTTCTTGTTAATAGATGATTTCCGCTTAAATTCCGGATTTGCTATCAATGCTTCCTGATCTAAAGTTTCTAAAAAATTTTGGATCTTTCCTTAATTCTCTTTCATGGGTGCACAATTGTGTGGTTAATTCATCTAAAGTTCTCTTTTCATCACTAAGAAGTAAGCAACTCGATTTGAAAGTACGATAACTGGGAGGAAGAGTATCCAATATTTTACAAATCAACAGCATTTCTGGCAGTCTGTTTTCTTTCTTATTTTCAAGCCCATTGTTCAGTTCATTCCATAGATTTTTCAATTTTGACAAATGAGCTGCCATATCATCATTTGACCAACTGAATTTGAAGAACTGTAAACATATGTTATAAAGTTGGTTTATCGGACGAATCTTCGAATACTTTGTGAAGTTCCAGCCAAATGTCTCTTGCGCTGTCAAATCTCATTACCTTTTGTAAAGTGTCTTCAGTCATGGAGTTCGTAAGAACCATCATAGCGCAATTATTTGCTTTATTAAAAACCTTCATATCATCTCTAAATCTCTTTCGAATCTCTTCGGCGGCCGCATGATCAGGCTCCTCTGGCTTCTTCAGTTTTCCTTCCACGACTTCTAAAGCGTTTTCGTGATAATTTAATACGAACTTAATTCTATATTTCCAAATAGGCCAATCACTTTTTCCGCATAACGGCTGAACTAATATCTTTGCAGCTTCCATTTTTGCGAATTAATTTGCCGACTCACGTAAGGCTTAAGAACTGCCGTGTTAGGCTTACGAACTGCCGGTAATGTTTATCTCCACTTCGCTCATAAATTTCCCTGCACAGTTATATCATGCTGGTACCCATAACCTGATGAATTTTCTTTGAAAACTGGTCGATATGGAAGGTAATGTGTTTTCCTCTTTCTGCTTCATTATTTGGCAGATCTTCAACCACTTCCAGTTGTAACCAATCTTGGATTATTGCGTTATAGTCTTCAAATTTTTCTTCTAATTTAAGTTTCTTTCTGGTTGACAGCAATCTCTTTTCAGTAGTGTCTCTGTTGACGGGTAAATTGTGTTAATTATTGACCTATAGCGAACTGACTCCATATCTATGATGAAGTCTAACGTTAGGAATGGAGACAAATAAATAAGCAGAGATTCATCTAAATTAACATATATTGAAACACAAAATGGCACAAGTACAGTAAATTCTACATGGTAAAGTAAAACAGTGACAACAACTAAAAAAAAAACGTTGCCAAGAGAAAAATATATAAAGCGTGTTGCCACACATGTTGTAAAATACAAATGGGAAATATAATCACAAATAAAAGTTATTTGCAACAATCTACCACATAATTTTTTTTTTCTCAAGGTCCTGTGAAAGTGATCCAATATAGCCATTTCCAATTCTACTCTAGACTTGCTTTCACTAGAATCAATTATTCCTAAAGCATCTAATTTCCATAAATTCTCTAAATTATTTCTGTGGATTAGCATACTGGTTATCAAAGATGAAATACTTTCAGATAAAATACAGTTGTTTATCTTACCCAAAACAATCTACCTGAGTAGTGCTGTACTGCAACAAGACCAGATGATAAGTGGAAAACATTCCTAGTGTAAAGACTTCCAGCATAGTCAACTCCAATTAAAAGTTCTATAGGTAGTAAGTTTTTTCCTACATGATTAAGAACTGTTGTCTTTATCCCATAAGTGAGCCATCCACTGTTCTTGAACACTAGGAATGTGCCACAAATAACTTCCTGGTCTAGAACTTGGATTTCAGAAGAATAATTCATTAAATTACTCACTGAAACTTTATGTTGCTTTCTAGAGTTAAACTCCCAAATACAACATGTGTTAAATTATCTCTTCGTTGAGTAGTCGTGTCGCCTCCATTTGATAAAGGGTAAATTTGAGAATATACAATCTCTGTGATCCCATGTCAAATAAAACTCTTACAGTTCTCTTCCCATCTGCTTCAGTGGACACAAGCTGAGTTTGCAGAAGAACTTCTGTTTGGCTTTGATTAGACAATGTTGCATTTTTATCAATTTGAGAAGTCTCTGAATTAATTTTCTTATCAGCATTAGACAATTGAGGACATATTATAATCCAGTGTTTCTTTTCGCAAATTATGCATCAAACATTAGCTTTGCAATTTTTGAAATGATGCTCGATTCCCAAACATGCAAAACAGGCTTTATTTTTCCTTAAAGTAGCCTTTTTTCCCCTCTAAAAACATCTTTTGGTCTTTAAAACAGTCTTGAGAATAATGGGTTTTGCCGCAAAATACACAAGCAGATTTCATAGCTTTAGTACCTGACTAGATCATTAGCCATTGGGACAGAAAATTCATCTTTTGTGTACTTTTGATTTTTATTTGAAATTTGATTGGATTTAAAAAAGCTTTGAATAAAGAAATCTATTCTTCACCCTCAAATTCCATGCAAAGAAACAACAATAACAGATAGTTTATCGCCATAGCAGTATTTTGGTTCTTTATTGATTGCTGGATTTTGTAATCAAACCCTAACAAACTTTTGAGAATGCATGATTCAGACAATGGGAAAACCATGGCAGCATACTTGTCTGCAGTTATGCCAATCGACTTTAAATACCTCAAATGTGACTCCAGTCTACACATAACTGCATGATGTTCTTCGTTTTCATGTTCATAGCATTTTTCACTGCCAATAATAGCAGTTTGTGGACATAATAATAGCTGTTCATAGTCCAATTTTGTTTTTAAGCTGTTAGTGGCTTTTGCATAGTTGTCAGCAATTTGTGGATAGCTATATACAATTTCTCAGGCTCTACTGTCAACTATCATGTGGTGGTTGAGGTACTGAAATTAAATTTATCTTCATAACCAATTGACTCATAATCATGAATTCTACTGAACTGACTCCAAATCAGTAACCAGTCTTTCATCTCCCCGCTAACTTTAATCTGTTCTATTTTGAAGAGCTTTAATTTTGTTTTTTCACCTGTATTCATCGGCAGTGGTTCATAAAATTTGAAAGTTTACCAAGGCATGCTTTAGTACGAATGCGAGCTGCATCTAATTTTCTCAACATTCTTCAGGTTTCTCTTATTCAACATTAAAATCTTCAGATTTGCTGTTTATTAAAGCAGTAAAAATCTTATCATCTAATTCAGCCAAATCTGTGGCTCTAAAGAAGAAAATTTAATTTCAATTTCTTCACATTTTAAATTTGTTTCATTTAAAGGCACTGTTAATGAATTGCAATGCTTTGTGAATGTTGCTGTAACAGGTATACTTTTAATAATATTTTCCATATTAATAAAATCTGAAGTTGGTTAAAATTAGTATTCACAAATTCACTGACCTTTATACTTAAACAACACAACCATAGTATAATCACCACAGTATTGAAAATGGATAAATTGCTAATCTGCTTTCTTCTTAGAATTTTATCAGGAGCTTATTTTTTAAAACAAATTTAATTCTAAACATAAGCAGTGATGCCAGTTGCATTGAGAAAATTATTTCACTACCCCTTGTTGCCAGATTTGCTTTTCGACTACCTAAATGTGGAGTAAGTTTGTGACAGCATCCACATTACCAGACCTAACGTCTAACGTAACTTTTTTTTTTTTTTTTTTTTTTTTTCTGACTCGGGGAGGAGGGTTCGCCTTCCTTCCCTGTGCTGCGCGCCGCAGAGCGGCGTGGAAGCACAGAAAAACTTTGAATGCTTATTTTTTTAAATCCCGTGCCTTTTCTGTATCCAGCTTGTCATAAAATTATATAGTATGTCTTATAATACATATTCTGTCTCAACTGTTATACATACTTACTTTAACTGCCAAAATTTATTTCTGCAGATTGTTCCTAAAAATTTTTATCCAAATGGTTTAACCATTTTAATTTGAGTAAACAAGATTCTACTAATGTTCAAGGAATTTGTCTTTTTTATTTACTTTGCTAAATGCATTTTATGTGTGCGTGTGTGTAGATTAGTTATGTGTTATAAAAACATTTTAATTACTGTAGTGTTTCTCTAAATTATTTTTTTCATTAACAGAGATGATATCATCAGCATAAATGAACTAGTGCTTGCAATTCGACGGATACAAAAGATATCTGATGACACTAGATTAGAGAGGATAGTTGATGTCTTGGAAAAGATGGATATTGATCATGATGGTGCTGTTGAAGTTGATCATGTCTTGAAGGTAAATACTTCTATTTCTATCATTTTTATATCACATTTTATGAGAAATGTACTAGTAGAATTGGGCTACTGTTTTTAAAATGTTAAAACTTATTGTAAGAGCGAGCATTTAAAAGTATTTTCATCTATAAAAACTGATTTAAAATTGCTAATGTTATTACTTTGTAAAATGTTAATGTATGACAGGAAAGTTAGAAATTACTCTCTTTCATAATGTTGCAAAATGCTAGTTTATATGTTCTTGTGTCAAACTAGCCACAAATGTTATCTGAATTAAAGTCAGCCCCCCCCCTGGGTTAGAGACTTTGATGCAGCAATGTGTATGCTATATTATTAGTTTCATCTTGTATTTTACTACTGTGCAATCTAATCTCATTATATTTGAATTTCAATCTATTTCTACATAAATATGCATTAGACCCATAAAATAAATTACCCCTTCAGGTTAATTTATACTTCAGTTTACACCTTTTTCATCATCCTGGAAAGAATAACATATCAAATTTGTCAACAATGTCTTGGTCATAATACTGATAATCAGGCTTAACTTAATAAACGTGATATTTCATTCTGTTTTTTTTTTTTTTTTTTTTTTAGGAATACTTAATCCTGATCTGTATTATATTTTTAAGTTTTTTTCTAACATAAGACTTTTATATATTTTCACCCTAGTTGGTGTTTATTTACACTCTAACATGATTTTCGCTTGAAAATTTAAACATATTCTCATCACAACTGCTTGTACATCACAACTGCTCAAAAAAAAAAAAAAAAAAAAAAAAGGGGGACAGTGCTATATCTCCCGTTCTACTGGGGCGATTCACGAAATTCAAATTGCGTTCTTCATATCTCAAAAGCGCGACTTACGATATATATTAGATTTATATATAGCACTATTCTAACATAGGTATTTTGACACAAAATCGGACTTTTTTTGAAATAACATATCAATTTTTTTTTACATATTTCGATTCTACGACTCAAATTATGCCAGAATACCAAGTTTTGTAAAAATCGTACGAGTAGTTTTTGAAATATTAGCTCTCAAAATTTTAGCTCCTCAATGTTAATTGAATTTGGCAAATATTTATTTATATCTCTTTTTTTATTAAACGTTTTTGATTTTTTCTCTCACATTTCAAAATTTTGGTTCATTCCAAATAAAATTTACCCATTTTGTGTTTTATTTTTTAAATTTCTATTTTTAAATAATTTTTATAAATTTTTCGAAAAAAATTTTGAATTATAACCTATAAAATTTTTACCATCATCTTAAAGTACGTATATTTTTAAGCATATCTGCAAAAAATTAGACTTTTTTATTCAAAATTTTCTAAGATATACAGAAATTTACATATTTTTGCGTTTTGAAATTTGGCATCTTTTTTTTGAGCGATAATAACGTCAAATGTGGTCTATGGATTTTTTTTACACTGTATTGCCACAGCTATTTTTAACCTTAAATTTCAAGTAAAATTTTACGGAGAATTAATTATATGACATTTTTTCCCTCAATGATGCGTAATAAATATTTATTAATACTATATGAAAAGCTATTTTTTAATATTTTTTTTAATTTCTCTCTTTTTTTTTTTTTTTTTTTTTTTTTTTTTTTTTTTTTTTGTAAATAAGAGTAAATTTTTACCTTCGGCGTTTTATCGTCTGCTACTTTACTTCGTTTAAATCGAATTGTCTAAAACTGAGAATTTTCGTTTGATGTTTATTTGAATTTTATGACATTAACTGCACAATTTATTTCTAAACAAAATGATGCTTTTGAAGTGGCTGAAAGAGCGGCTGGTACTATCATCCATATTTTTAAAGCACAGTATATTTTTATAGAAACATAAGATTTAGAATAATCATTTTTATAAAAGTCAAATTATGATATAAATATACAACCCTCTAGAGACTGAATTAATGAAAGTTCAGTGGTTATGTAGAAATGATCTGCAGCTACTTAATCACTGGATAAGTCAGCAGATTCCGTGGACAAGTAAGAATAATTATATAAACGACACCCAACATTCTGAATTCAATTAACAACGAGGATACGATGGTTATTAAATGAATTCAAGAAGTTTTTAAAACATAAAAAATCAACTCATTTTTTATCCTAAAATGTATTTTTGTGCGTAGCGTATTTTCATTATTCTAATTTAAAATTCTAATAATTCTTAAAATTCTAATTTAGAATGTAATTGTCAAGAACTGATTCCTAATCATCAGTAATATAATAAGTAATTATTACGGTTATTAATAAATCCTTCTTATAAAGTAATTGCAAATATTTCAAAAAACTTTCTGTCTGAATGCAAATATTTTTTTAATTTTATATTAATCAAGATTGCACACGATATTATTTATTTGCACTTCAATTCTTAACGTCAGTTCTAGTAGAAGTTACAAATCAATTATATTTAATTAAGGATTGGATTGGATTATTTAATTATGGCAAAGCACATGAGGGCTATCTGCCTAAAGAGAGGGATGCCTTCATGGAGGACTTTCTAAGGGAAACTGGCTCGTATACACGTTACACATCGGGAAAACCACAAAAACACCCATGCAACCAGCCTGTTTGCGGGATTTGAACCTCGGACCGAACTACCTGTGATCAGCACATCTTTACCGCTCGGCCGTTTGTGGGCCTTTATGAAATGGAAGGCGATAACTTTATTTAAAATGATTGTTAGAAATACCAAAATGTTTCGAAAAGTTGGATACTTTTTAATATACTTTCAGAATGCTTAAAGAAAAAGAGAAGAAAAATAAATTTTTTCGTAAAATTTAGTATTTGTATTTTTTTAATTTAAAACTTTTCAATGTTATGATATTTGATTCTTGCGATTTCAAAAAAATAAATATTTGACTAAAATATGAATAACATTTTAAGAAACCAAATGTAGGATAAAATTGTGTAAAGCAATGGGCACAATGATAAAACTGTTTTAAAGCAGTGTATGCAAGTCATCCTAAGTTAAAATGTCGGTTATACATCTCTCTTATTTATATATATCTTTTCTGAACGGAACATTGAAAGGCGTGTAAAACTGTGCTTTACTGTATTTTCTCTTTTAATATAGTATGCAGTTTTCAAACTCATCGTAGTTTGGGTTACAAAGTATTCTTCCGAAAGAAACGCAGTTCAAATAAATAAAATCAAATTCTGGAAAATTGATATTAATAAATATATTTAAAATGCTCAGTTCGAAGGAATAAATAGAAAATTTTAGAACAATTATCTGAAGAGACAATGCAACACAAACAATTAAAATAAAAGTATAAAAAATTTTAAAAATTACCTAAAATAATAACTATGATGAAAAATATATATAAAGAAAAGTATTTGAAAAAAAATAAACGCTGACTTTGCACCTTATTTACGCAGTTTGAATAGGTAAATAGAAATTTTTAAAACAGTTATTCAGAAAAAAAAAAAAAAAAAAGTGAAACAATTACAAAACAATTAACTTAAAACTATAATATAATATAAAGGATATTATTTGAAAAAAGAAGAAACGATGGTGACTTTTTTTTCTCTCACAGGAAAGGAAACTAGGTTGCCATATATTAAGAAGTTCGCCAAGTGAAGTATTCTTGGCGCAAACTAACAAAAAAGTGCCAACATAAATTTGTGAATTTCTCTGTAAATTTCGCTCCAAATTTTACAAAATTTCATATTTAGGCGTAATTTGAGTCGTAGAATTGAAATATGTAAAAAAATTGGTATGTTATTTCAGAAAAAGTCCGATTTTGTGTCAGAATACCTATGTTAGAATAGTGCTATATATAAATCTAATATATATTCTAAGTCGCGCTTTCGAGACATGAAGAACGCAATTTGAATTTTGTCAATCGGCCCAGTAGATCGGGAGATATAGGACTGTCCTTTTTCTTTTTCTCTTTTTTTTTTTTTTTTTTTTTTGAGCAGTGTACATCTTTTGTTTGCATGCAGTGTTTGGCATATGCAGTCTGACAGTGAAATAATGAGGATGATTTTAGTAGAGCCATGATAAAACAAACACCATTGGTGAAGTAATGCATGTCATAATCTGGCAGTCGTGAGCACTCGCCTGCCATTCTCTTTGCAAGAACCTGCTTCCCTCTTTTTCATGGCAACAAGGGGATAAAAGATTTCTGAATGTTGGAAAAGAGAATGACCATATGACTTGGTTGTTTTCATGTGTCAAATAATTACACCATCAGGTGAGTAGTAAGTAAATAAACATTGCATTTATAGTACAAACTTGCTGATTGATGTGTGACTATGTGTTACAAACATGGATTTCTTGTGCTTCCTGCTCATTATTTTATGGACCATTTTATAGTCTTCAGCACTGTTAGTATAAGTATGATGGGAAATATAGTGCCATTTCCCCATTTAATTAGTGAGAGAATATTGTTATGCAAATAGCATAGAGCAGACTGAATATTCTGTGTAAAATTAGAAAAGGGCTAGTGATACAGTTTAATTTGTGAGACAGATCTAATAGAGGTTCTTGATCTAGTACATATTCAGGAAGTATGCAGGATTTCAAAATCATATAGTATTAAAGATGAAAGACAAAGCCAGACTTGGAGATACAAGTTCCTCTTTATAATTATCAACATCCTTGTTTATAACATTACTGTGGATTTGCATGTAACTCTGCTCAGAAATGCAGTTTTCATTATCCATATGATTCTCCCATTCTTGCATTTCTATTTCTGACTTGTGTACAATGAAGAGGAAAAAAAAGAAAAGGAAATGAATGTTACAGACAATAACCTCCAGTATAAAATATTGTATTTTTTATTAATAATTTATGATCAAACTCTGATATTTATTTTTGACATGATCATATAAAATCTGCAGTATGGAGCATTGCAAGGTTTCTGGAGGATAGGTTTGTGCCATCATTAGCAGTATTCATAAAAATTGTATTGTAGAGCTGTTATTGAGTATTTAAAGTCCAGTTATATTCTTTTATTTCTTGAGCCTGATTTCACTTACAGATG